TTTTTTTAAATGGCATGAAGGACAAATAAAGCCCTAATTAGCAGATGTCAGATTTGTCTGTGGTCCTAGTTATCTGAGCCAGATGGCTCAGTGGCCCTGAGTCAGTAAGACTTGACACTCTCTGGGAGATGGACTGTTTGTACAGCCCTTTGCCATCCAACCAGGACTACATGTGTGAAGTTGGAGCCTTTCAGTTTTTCCAAAAAGTCTCTTAAAATGCTTACAATTATAGTAAAGTTTAAAAGAGACAGAAATCAGACACTGCCAAAGAATAGCCATCACTTTGTTTGACTTACTGTGATGATCAGTGACTGATCCCTGTAAGTGGTTCAGAAAAAACATGGAGCCATAGTGGTTTTGTGGTGTTTGGGCACTCCTGGGTAGGAAGCATAGGTTGGTTTCTCCTTGCTGATCTTTTCAGTCTGAGGACAGACTTGTCAAGGGTGAGAGGTTTCAGGGTTGTTCAGTAGCAATTTCCTGCGCTCTTGTCTGATAAGAAGGCGGATCAATGCAATTTATTCTGCAGCATTAAAAATTGCAAACCCATTTTCATGGATAGCAACACTAAAGCTAAATGCCTTTTCCCTGGAGGAGGGAAAAAAAAAGGAAATCTGCACCAAGTATTTAGTGATCTAAGAGATCAAAGAGTGGTTGTGTTGCAATTACAAAAGATGAAATGCACAGTTGTGTGTATTGCTCAGTAATATAGCAGGCATTCATTTAAGGGGAGTATTTTTGCAGCATGCAGCATAGAAAACACATGTCTAATAGGTGCATTCATTTTAATATGCTCATTCATAGAGCAGGCCTGATTAATTAGTGCATGTCACCATCTGGTACTTACTGAGACTATTCATTTTTAAAATGTTGAAATTGTAGGGAATGTTGCACACCAATTAAGTTCCTTTTAATTGGATTATGTTAGTATAAAGTACTGCTGGAGAAGACCTTCATTGTGATTCAGCCAGCATGCATCTAAAGGAGACCTGCCAGCCTGAAATTACTTAGAACAAAGGAAAAATGCTTGAAATGCATGTTTATTCCTGTCTCTCTGCACTCAACAAAGATGGTGTCAACAAGGAAGAGCTACAAAAATACTTCAGCATTTCTTTGCAGGGTTCAGTTTCCTGACATGAGGCTATTTCAGCTGGTAACTTCTTCCTCTTTGCACACCAACTCCTCTTCTGTCATCTTCTCCCTCTGACCTGGAAAGTGAAATATGCTTTTGTGTTTGTTTGAGATCAACTTAGGAGTGCTTGGTCTGGCCCTGTTGTGTGCCTGCTGAAATGAGGAGCATTGCTGTCGTTTACACAAAGAGTGATTGGCCTTTAAAGCTGATAAACTGTGTGTGCTGACTCAACCCTTTAGTAAATGAAGTATCACGCTCTGCTGGCTGCAGCAGCACATTAGGAGCAGAACTTGTCCATCTGTACTTGGTCCTGTCATTGAGTCACTTGGTGAATTTTAGTTAATGTCACTGCACTGCAGTGCTTCTGTGTATAAATTTTAAAGACTTAAGTTTGTCAACTTACAGAAAAGGCTTTGAGACGCAGAGATGAAAAGCGCAGTGATGCATTTACTGTTTATGCTTTCTTTAGAAATCTTGTGCTGATTTGTATTGAACATCCGAGGTTGCTACTGCCTTGATTTTGCAGAAGTTGAGCATCTTCAAATAAGTCCTGTCATCCAGGCCACTCATTTCAGAAGGGCCAGGGGCTCTGCTGGGTACATATTCCCTCCCATTCCTTGGCAGTTAGATGGGCTGACACCCGAGGAGGGAAGTTATGGAAGAAAAGATACCTGATCACTAGCAGCTTAAGAGACCTGATGTGTGAGCATGTGGGATCACTTGATTACCTTCTTTGTTTTGGGGAATAGGGTAGAAAAGAACAATGTGGGATATTTTTTTCCTTGTGATATTTATGTGCATTTTTGTTACCTTCAATAGACTGCTGCCCTCTGCCAAGTTGCAGCTGCTAACAACGGAAGCAAGAGCACATGGAGAATGTTTTACATTCTTTAATACTGAAAGAAGATTCCATTTCTGTTATCACTCTTAAAATCACTCTAATTGTCACTCATAATAGGGAATCTGTAGTTGAAACAGTAAATGTCTTTTCTTTAAAGAGAGAGGGGAACATCAGAAAAAAATGCTTTTGCTTATACAACAATGAAGAAACTACTTGGACTTGGTTCAGAATGCAAACACTTGTTTAGACATATAAAGGTTACTATGAATTTAATTTGTACTAGCAGAAGAGTGCTACTGATTTCCAAGTGTGAAAGTAGCACAACGTTGTAATTCTTTTGGTTGTTTTCTTAAGATACATTTCCTCTTGTTTGAGGTGCACATTTCCCCGTTGTTACAGCTGCAGGCAGTGTCAAAGCGTTCTGCAGGAACTGCTCATCCTGCCTGTCCCAAAGCCAAGGGGAAACCCAGCTGTAGTTTATAGACCTGAGGAGTCTAGGTCAAAAATCCACGTTAGAGAGCATGGTTGTGGTTCAACCATTTCCGTTAGGGATTGGAGGTCTAAGTTATCTATACATGTCTTATGTGTGTAAAAGTCACTTGGCTGGTTTGCATTCACACATCAACATGTCTTTTTACTTTAATCAATTGCTTCAGGTGGTACTCCTGGGACCTGGGGTGTGTGTTTACCCAGAGCCATGGCCATACCATAGTTGCTACTGACTGGAGAGCTCTTGTGGTTGTGCTGAGTTTGCTGCAGTTTGTGTTCATGTGTTGAGAGTAGCACTCCCTTGGAGGAGAGGGAAGTCCATCAGCATCAGTGAATCTGAGCAAATGAGAGTCAGTACAGCCAGAGGTAACACATGAGCGTGTGGTCACACCAAGGTGCACAGTGAAGTGCTTTCTCATTTCTACCCCAACAACCCCTGGGAGGCCATAAAAGTCTGTGGTAGGATTCCAGAGCAAGTGCTGCTTATGCAATTTTGGAGAAATAATATCACTCAGTTAAATCTTAAAAACCACACACACACTCTAAACTAACCCTTTTGTTCAAATTGTTTGTTCAGAGGTTTTATGTAATGGAGAAATGTGTTTTCCAAGAAAACATTTTGCTTAGATTCCCATTACTGTAGCTTTACTCCATTTGCTTGTTAAATTCATGAAACCAGGGAGCTAACCAGAGTATAAAATTCTAGTACGTGCACACTCTCTCTCTTTGATTTTAGAGGATTATTTTCAATGTAATTTTTCTGCTTAAAATATATGGGCTTGCAAAGTGTTGAAGCAACAAATCTTGGCAGAGATAAAAAAAATACAAAGGCAGTTTACTCTGTATATATAAAACAGGCTCAAAGTTTGGGCAGATCACTATCTGGCAGACTTTCTATCTCTTAGGTCATACAGAGAAAGCTCTTGGCACTGATGTTTTGGCAAAAAGCTTTGTCTGGAAACATATTTAGTCAATGTATGAAATATGATAGCCCTGGTACCCTTAATGTGTCTGAAGATACTCTAATAGAGTTAGACTTCAGCTCCATCTGGTGTTGGAACAGGATTGCTATATGAGAGCTTTCCAGCATACAGGACAGCCCTTTGCCAAAACACAAGCAGTACGTGAGGAGCCTGACAAATTCACTCAAGTCTCAGTGTTACTGACAGTTTCTGTTGTTTTCTACACTGATGAAAACCAATTGTGCCTATGGTGAATTCCAGCATGGCTGTCCTGCTGCCGAGTTACTAACCACAGGCTCTATAGGGAGTTGCATCTGTACCTGAATGGGTTTATTATTACTAAAGAATGGGGTTTTTAATACCCTTTCAGTGTAGTTATGTGATCAGCAAGTACATTTTCACCCCAAACCTGTCAAAGTATATCAATGCCTGTGTTTACAGAAGTAGCTCTGGACATACTGATTCTTTCAGCTCAGTAAAATGTCTCCAATAATTTGAGTTATGCAACACTTGACGAAGAGACCAGACTTGTGGATTTGGCTTAAAGCTTAAAGTCTTCAGGCATTAATTCATGAAACTCAAATCCTGGATATTCCAATGACTATAGAGCACAGCAGATTCATGTTTGGTTTTTACTTAAAGCTAATCGTTTCAGGAAATAAGATTCACTCGGAAAGAGATTTTCAATTCTTTTTCAGTTGTTATTTCTGGAGAGGTTAAGTAGAAAAGCTACATGTAAAACACATCAGGGACTAAAAGTCATAAGCTTTGTTTTGAGGATATAAGAATGGTTCATTTCCACTATTGTAAGGTAAAGGAGAAGAAACAGTCACTTGCTAGAAAGGTTTCAATGGCATTTTTATCTCAACTTCCCAGACTAGCAGTCCAGCCTGTCTCTCCAGCCACAATACCTGTCTCTAGTTATAAGCTTACTCTGATGAAAAAAGTGCTAAAATGGCAGAGTTTGGAACTGCTTGAGTGTATTTTGTCAATTCAGCTGAGCTCTTTCATATATAATGCTAAAAGAAATCATCTCAATTGTGTTAAGGAGAGTAAACATACTTTCCTGTGTCATGTTTAAAAAGATACATTGAAATGTACACTGCTCTTCACTTTTATATCCTCTTGCTAGCATTTGTTTTATTGGGGAAAATTAAAGGTCAATGCTCCTGAACTAGCCAAGAAAATTATTCTAAATTCTCAGTCATTGCCATCTCTCTCTTTCTGTCTCTGCTTTCAGTAATACCGGGCTTAGCTGCTAAAGTTTAATTTCTTTAGGTATGAGAAGGATGATGCTTGCAATTTTTTTTGCATCTCAGTTGTTATATAGATTTGTAAATGTAGATAAAAATAGACATCAGCAAAAGGCTACTTGCTTATTCCAAGTTGCTTGTAGAGTAAAAACTGTAAGTATAATGATCGACCTGGTTCTTTCCCATTCTTATCCTCATTCTCTTTGGTGTTTTAGAATGATCACTGCTCCAAACAGTAGCTGTACTCAGTGAACAGAGTAGAAACATATGGATGAAATTCTTGCATGCACTGAACAGCACAGCACCAAGTGCAGAGCTCTGGGAAAATGTCTGCTTGCAACGCCTTCACTGAGCACGTCTGGAAACCTGGTGAATGTAAGAACTGCTTCAAGCCCAAAAGCTTGCATCAGTTACCCCCAGTATCTGAAAAAAAAACCCTCGCACATGGCAACCTGAAACCCAATGCAAACCAAAGTAACAGCCATCGTGGGAGAAATACAGGGAGTTTCCGACCACCTGTGGCAAAGAAACCCACCATAGCTGTGAAACCCACCATGATGGTGGTCGATGGGCAGGGGGTGTGCAGTGAAATCAGCACACCAGATCCTTGTGAGAATAAATCTGTGTCTGCGGGTTGGAACCGGAACAAAACTGTCATGAACAAAAAACCACTAAACAATAATAATGAAGATGAGATTGAAGGTTATAGCAACGTTCACAGGGCTTGTGGCAACAATGATGGTGGAGGTAAGATACCAAATAACAATAATAATGGACTGACAGAAGTTTTGAAGGAGATTGTGGGTTTGGATACCACACCTCAGCTAACTGGAAATGAAATGAACTCAAGAGAAACCTTCTTGGGAAGAATAAATAATTGCTATAAAAGATCATTGGAAAGAAAGATCCCTCCAAGCTGCATGATGGGTGGAATGAAGGATTCACACAGTAAGCACGTTATTCTGAGCGGAAGCACTGAAGTAATAAGTAATGAAGGTGGACGTTTCTGTTATCCAGAGTTCTCCAGTGGAGATGAGAGTGAGGATGACACGTTTTTTGGCAGTATGCAAGAAGAGCATGAGAGCTGGGATGAAAGTGATGAAGAATTGCTAGCAATGGAGATTCGTATGAGGGGCCAACCTCGCTTTGCTAATTTTAGGGCTAACACGCTCTCTCCTGTTCAGTTCTGTGTTGACAAAAAATGGAACACTGTGCCCCTTAGAAACAAGTCTCTCCAGCGGATCTGTGCAGTAGATTATGATGATAGTTATGATGAAATTTTAAATGGTTATGGGGAAGAGACCGTGATTCTGTATGGGCAAGAAAGCATGCAGAGCATGGTATCTTCTGATTCTACGTCTCCTGATTCTTCTTTGACAGAAGAGTCTCGTTCTGGAACAACCAGCAGCTCTTCACAGAAGCTCTGTAATGGAGGGCTATCTCCTAGTACTCCTCAGGACCTCAAATTGATTGAACCAGAATATGAAAGTCTTTGTGACAATCAACAAATGAAGGATGTGTCAAAAGCTCCCAGAAATGTTCAAAAAAGTCTGGAAACTCACAAGGCAGTCCTTGCACTTCGGCTGGAAGAGAAGGATGGCAAAATTGCTGTGCAGACTGATAAGCAAGAGAATAAAAGTCCCTCAGATGTTGGTGGCCAAGCTGTAACTATAAATTTGGTGCCTGTGGAAGAACAAGCTAAACCCTACAGGGTGGTGAATATGGAACAACCAGTTTGCAAGCCATATACTGTAGTAGATGTATCAGCTGCCATGACCAGTGAATGTAAGGAGAATCAGACTGAAACCTCAGAAACCAAAAAAACATCGTCTAACCCAAGCTCACCAGTAACTCCAGGCACACCTATTACATCCTCTGCAGCATCACCTGTACGAGTAAATGCTAATCTGAAAAAATCCAGTGCAATCAGATACCAAGAAGTATGGACTTCTAGTACTAGTCCAAGACAGAAGATCCCTAGGGTAGACTTAACTGCTAACAGCTCAGGACCTTCTGTTCCTCCCAGGAAGGCAAGCCACAAGTCAGCTCCTACTTCACCTACAGCTACAAACGTTTCTTCAAAAACTGTCCCAGTTAAGTCTCCCAATTTATCAGAGATAAAATTCAACAGCTACAATAATGCTGGCATGCCACCTTTTCCTATTATCATTCATGATGAGCCCACTTACGCTAAGAGTTCCAAAAATGCTATTAAAGTTCCTATTGTAATAAATCCAAATGCATATGATAACCTGGCTATCTATAAAAGTTTTCTAGGGACCAGTGGAGAGCTGTCCATCAAAGATAAAACTACTAGTGTAATAAGTCACACATACGAAGAAATAGAAACAGAAAGCAAAATGACTGAAGCTACAGGAAGTAAACCCACTGAGTTTTCCCAAGCCCGGGGGGTGACTAATAGCTCTGAATGCAGGCTGGGTTCTGTGGCTCAGAAGGTCCAAGAGTTCAATAGCTGTCTCAGTAAAAGTCAGATATCACCACAGAGGAGTTCAGACCACAGCTCCCCATCAAGAGTTCAAAAGACAACACAAGAGACTACAGCAAAACCAGATGTAACACCAGAGGCTTCTGTTAGCAGCAGCAGTGGTCGGGAGAACGCAAGCACGGTGCTTTCACAGATTGTGGCTTCTATCCAGCCTCCACAGTCTCCTCCAAAAACACCTCAGGCTGCACCCAAGTCTTGTAGTGTGGAAGAGCTGTATGCCTTACCCCCTGATGCAGACTCAACTAAAAACACCCTGGTACGACCCAAATCTCTGTTTACATCACAGCCTGAAATAGAGTCATCCAAGACAGTGGAAAATGCTGCCAGTAAAATACAGAAAGAGTCACTTTCACAGCCAGTTGCCACTCACTCTCCACAGCCAGCGAGAGCCACCCCAAACACCACAAGTCCCAAAACAGAGCAGGCACCGCCATTTCCTCCTCCACGGTCCACTTCTTCACCCTATCATGCAAGTAACTTGTTGCAAAGACATTTCAGCAATTGGACCAAACCAAACAGTCCCACCAGGTCAACAGAGGCTGAGTCCATCCTCCATTCGGAAGGTCGGCGAGCTGCCGACGCGAAACCCAAACGCTGGATATCGTTTAAGAGCTTCTTCCGCCGTCGGAAAACTGATGATGAGGAAGAGAAAGAGAAAGAAAGAGAGAAAGGAAAATTGGTGGGTCTTGATGGAACTGTTATACACATGCTCCCCCCTCCTCCAGTCCAGCGTCATCACTGGTTCAGTGAGGCCAAGTCAGACTCCAGTGAGAAGCCGTCGATTGTTTTCATGTACAGATGTGAAGTGCCACAGGCTGAGCCTAAGGCTGACCACCAAAACAAGAGTGAAGCAGAGGCTGCTATTGCCAATGCACTGGCAAAAGACCAAGGGGAAATGCAGGAAAAGCCTCCAGAGAGCTCTGACCAGGACACAGCCAGCCATTCATCACCACCTCAGATTGCCAAGAAGATCCCCAGGTAACCTGCTTATCTTTTTTAGTCACTTACTCAGTTGTGAAGTGTTTTGTATATTCCAGTGAAAAGGAGAAAAATTAAGGAGTTTTATTACATGAACAGTAATTATTTCAAAGTGTATTTCTTTTAAGTAACTTAAAGCATAGTTTTAAGATCTTCATGTTATATTGGATACCAGAAAAGATTTAAAAATATTACTACAAACAACACCTGATACTTGGAGTCTGTATTGCAGGTTGACTACTATATCACAATAGCCATGTTACATTGAATCAGATACATTTTTGAGAATTTCTAGTTTGAGATGGTGTTCTTACGGTACAGGAAACTATAGAATTTCTCTGCTGCTATAGAGGGCAACTATTGAAAAGTATAATAGAAATTAAAAGATTTGAGACTCGTTAAAGGTGGTGTGCTAACTTTGTATCACACACCCAAGAATGCAATAGGTTCTCATTAATTTGAGATGACACTGCAACGACACCACAGCACTCTCATAATAAACTATGTAAAAAAGTAAGAAGAGAATTAGATTATCTTTAAAATGGTCTATCTCTGTTTTCCAAAGCCTTTAGGAATGAATGTATTTTGTCTCCTAACAGTATTGGATTCAGAGCTGGTTGCTCTATTTCTGCCTGACAATTTTATTCAGTTATTTCATTTTTAATATTTTTATATAATCAGAATTTACTAAAATGATTTCTTGTTTAAATTAATGTGAAAGCATTTGGCCAGTAGCTATTTATTCCTGTAAGGTCACAGTAGCTGAATGTTTTAGGTCTGTCTGTTGGTTTAAAGGTCTGTTCCCTTACCAAGGGTACACATGCCTTCTTAGTTGCCTCTGAACACATGGAATCATGTTTCTTTCCAGACAGTCATTATTTTCAACATACCACTAAGTTCCTACACCTCATGACAGTGCATGATCTAAGAGGGTTGGAGACATTTGTTGCAGTCAGTTATGTGGGAATGATATGCACTTCACAGAGTACAGACCACAGATATGGATGTGTTACAATGGGTCTTCCAATGTTGTTATACAAACCAATTCCAAAACAGCTTCAAATTTGCATTATTTACTTAATTATAACAATCAATTAGTGGTAGGAAATTAAAAATTTTGTAACGTTTGAGCTGTGCATAAGCCTCAGAAAATGTACCATGGCAGTGGTAGTTGTTTTTCTTTCTCCATTGTCTATACAAGAAAATTGCTGTCCATTTTAGTTAAAACAGTTTTAAAGTTGACTTAAACTAATAGAAATCTCTATGAGTGTAGTTTGGGTTTACCATAAACTGATTGCTGCTTGTATTAACAGTAAAATTAACCAACAGTGACTATTTGCAGCAAGTGTAATTAAATCACGTTGATATCCCATCTTGGGAACACTAACACAGCATTCTCATGAAGATCAGGGCTCCTTTTCAGGCTGTTTGCCTTTTGTCAGATGTGAACAGCTTTGAGTTTTGTAATGTAAGGTGGTGATAGGGTTTATCACAGTATTATGTCAAGCTGATTTCTGTCAATTTACATTTGAAGTAATTGCCCCAATTACAAGACAGGATGGTCTCCAAAACATTAGTGTAATGTCTGTTTTTGCAGACTTGGGTGAATGGCAATCTCAGGGTCAAGAATTTTATTTAAAAAAAAAAAAAATCTATGAAAGTTAACAAATAGAGTTTAAAAAAAAAAGCCAGTACAAATTGTGGGTGTGAGTTTCAGAAACATTAAGCAATTTCACAAACTACTGAAGTCAGCAGGAGCTGTAAGCATTCAGCATCTTTGCAAGATGTACAGTCCTGCAATAGCACAGGAGTGTGGGCGATGACAAAAGGGGTGTCCCTGTATTTACAGTACATATTACAGTTTAAGGGTGAAGATTGTGGGGAATGTACATAGGGCTAAAAGAGCCTTTGGTAGGAGGCTAGGCTGTCTAGATCTACCTTAAATTAAATGGGGATAAGCAGGCAGCTTTAGAGAGCAAGTTAAGAAGAAGTTTGTGCTTTCAACTGCCCCTTAGAGGAACCCGTTATTATTATCATCTCTGGGGGAACCTGCAGAAAATGAGGTTGTACCAACATCATCTTTTTTAGCAGCATGTCCAATTACATTGTCATCAGGAGATTGCTCCGACCTCCTTAGTGCCCTGCTCTTCTGCTGGCAAGACAGTTTGTGTGGTCATATGTGGCGAACCAGGCTGGGGAAGTGATGCAAGTGAAAGATAACTTAGCAAGTTTTTTTCACTCAGAACAAATCACTGATCTGACCAGTCAAGCAAGAGCAGCTGCTTATCTCAGTGGTAAAAGGGCAGTAACAGGCTAATGGTTGTGGTCATACTTGGCACTTTTTCTTAGACTGCCCTCGAGATGGTGCTGTTACAATGTTACGTACTTTTTGCATATTTTCTGAAATACCTTCTGCCCTTAACTGCTGAAGGCAATGGGTCAGTCTGTCCTGTCTCATTCACTTATTCCAAAACGTATGTTAACTCTTTTTCTCCAAGTCATGGTCTTGGCTAAAACCGTATCTCACCATTTTCCCTGCTGAAAACTGGAATTCTCTAAATATTAGAATTGGACTTTCTTCTAACAATATTGTTATATGGTCTCTACAAATTCCAAAGAAAATACACTGAGATGCTGAGAAATACGTTGTGGTAACACGAGACAGTGGATATCTTTATCCTGCAGTTATTATATTCAATTACCTTGATGCCATTTGATGCCTTAAGTTATTTGGGTTCCTTTACTTAATTTTTAATATTGTTAAAGAGACCAAGTGAAACTTTATAATGCCAAAAAACAAAGCTACTTATTTCCCTTGAAAATTGTCTTATTTTCTTAATATCCCAGTAGGTGAGAATCAGGATTGTGAACTTCCAGTTTTGCACACGCAGGAGACAGATGAGATTCTATACTTGTTTTGTGTTAACTCTCCAGGTATGGGTAAGATGTTAGTGTTAATTCAGGCTAAAATACGTGCATGGAAAAGATGTTGAAAATCTTTAGTTAAGCTTGTAGAGGCTTAGAAGAAAACAGGACATAAAGATAATCAATCAATGAACGTGACACTTTTCTGACTCAGAATGCCAACAAAAGTAAGCTCACTGAAAAACCTAATTGATGACCTGGAAAATAAGATAAGCTTTAAAAATGTCAGATTGGGGGGGGTCTGAAAAGCAAATTAAATCAAGATACTTAAGATTTCCTTACTTTGCAGCAGGTTACAAAGCTGCTAAAGATTGATAATATAACTACAAAACAGGACTGAGGGTATTGCAAGTTACCACTAGAAATGTCAGCTTTTCTTTTTTAAACACTTGCAAAATACTCGGTTCTTTGGAAAGCTGGAAAACATCTGTTAAAATAACTTGGTTTTGTTTTATCTATGTGATTGTTTCCTTCTGTGTGATGCCAGGATGCACATATGGTGGTTCTGAAGGAGCTAGCAAATACTAATTTATAAATTCACCAAACATTTGTCAATAGATTAATTTTTGCTAAGAATCTGCAGTCATGCCAGCTTTATCATTCTTTGGAATGAAAATCAGGTGTTCTTAGAATAACGGTAGTTCATGATGCAGCAATTTTTCTCAGGCAAAACCTAAAATTGACCTCTAAGAAGATAACAGGATGATATTTCTGTCCTAAGTCACTATAATTGATGAAAGTGGCACAGCACAGTGTGGAATCCACACAAGTTTTTTTTTTAAATTCTTCAAAGGCTTTTTCATCTAGTGGATCAGACTGTTGCTCTTGGAGTTGCACAAGATAAAGGTTTCTCTTCTCCTTCATTGAGATCACTGCTTTAGCAGCTTTTTATGTTGAGACTTTTGCTAAAAGAAAACTGCAGCACAGCCTTCTGATTCTTCCTTTCCTGTCTTCACAAAGCACACCAGAGCTGAACTAAAACCTCATTCTGCACTGTTGAAGATGGCAGTGCCTTTGTAAATCAAGGTACAACTGATTTGTGCTCAGCCATTGCTGCTTAAGTTACATATTAAACTAAATGGTTTCCTTTCATAGCCACAAGTCAGCCATAACTTTCCTTTAGAGGACTTGGATGAAGTAAAGATAAAACCGTACATTTACTGAAATACTTCCTTTAAGTAGTGGCATATTCATTCCATTCTGGTTTAGACAAGAAGCTGAAGTTGGGATTACCAATCTAATTCCTTAACTTTGTCAACAGGATTTGAGCTTGTAATTGATAGATTAGAGTTCTGTTGTTCCATAGCTACAGATCACTCTCCTGTTATAGTGTGTATGAACCTGAACAGCACAGGGAATGGAGCTTGCACGTAGGCTCTCGATTCAGTGGGACAGGAGCCATGAGTGCTCTGTGTATCTAGAGGAGTATGAATGTTGTAACAGATGACTCTGTAAAAACAACTGCAATCATTGTTCTTCAAAAATGCAGTCATATATTAAGATCAGGATTACATCCAGAGACAGGCAGGAATAACCACCACTGCCACATTCCACTTTCTCATTGATCCAATCCTGTAGATTCCACAGCTGCTTCAGAAACTACTTGAGCATTGAACAAGCCTTTCCAGTCACAGTAGGGCACTGTTCAAAAGAAAGTCTTTCCCAGTTTAGAGGACCTCTTGTATAAATATTAAGGTAAGGTTTTCACCAGAATCCAAAACCTTTGAGGTATAGCTTGCATAAATTGGTGAGGAGAATTCAAAGATCTTATAGCTGAAAAGAAAATTCTTGCTTGAGCAGGTCTAATGAAATGGGAGAAATTCTCACCTGTCAAGTTTAGGTGGAACTATCAGCTCTCACTTCTCAAATCTATGTTGATTTGGTTTTTTCTAGATCTCAGAAAGCTTTCTTTAAGCACTTTAAAGCACTGCTAAACAGTGCTTTAAAAGCATTAACCATCTATCATACCCTGTTTCACCCATGAAAAACCTTTGTGAGATTTTTCTTTAGAACATGTCTGTGCTCACAGAATTGAAAATTATGCATGTTTGGTAACATTAAAATTTGGTAACATTAAATTTTGTAAACAGTAAGGACAGTTAAAGAACCGAGTAGAAGGGATTTTACCGTTTATTATTTTATAAATTTAGATTAAAAAATAGTAAGTCATGTATTATTGTTCTTAACCACTCTAATACAGTCTGTAAAATTGAAAGATTGAGAACTTGAAATGGATAAAGAAAAATGTCATTTTTATAATGCCAGATTAATCTGTGGAACTCATTGCTATTACATTTTACTGACACTTAAGAGCTTAGCAGGATATCTTTACTGGATTATCAAATGTATTCCCTTTATCCTTGCAAACATCACATCATACAAGCTTTTTTTTTAAAAAAAAAAAAGAATATAAGGTCTCATGCTTCAGGACCAAGCCAACTCCTAAACAGTAGGAATTAGGAATACATGTTATGGCTTAGTTATTTCAGATTATTGTTTGAAAAGTGTCTTTCACTTTTCTTTGTAGTGATTATTTCTAATAGTGGTGATGAGGAACTGTGTGAGCCACTGGAATGGGTTTTCTGTACCCAAAATGTACTCTGAAGCCTGGCCACTGATCATCTTTGCCCAGTGTTTTGCAGAAATAAAGTGATCTGTGTTCAGGGTAGAAGCTCCTAAGGCAGCCTTTGATCATCCTCAAGCCATTAACCTCTCTGCATTTTTCCTCAAGCATTATTCAGTCAATTTAGGTTCCATATTAGCTTTATTATCTTAAAAGTGTAGGGCCTGAGGGGATCTCAGAGGGATCTCTTCGAAACTAAATATATCTACAAATTACACATGAGGTTTTTGTGTGTGTGTATGAAACTAAGTCATCTTCCTTGTTGGGCTCTCTAGTTTCAAATTCTTCTGCTACCATTGATTACTGCTTTGCTGATGTGCACTCAGGGAGGAGATGAGTCTCAGCTGGGTCTAAGGCTTTTCTCTGTGTTCCTGTCACTAATTTCTGCCACTTGAACTTATGTGCTGTCTTACACAGAACTGTACTCCCTCAGCTTGGCCTCATGATCTGACCTTAATTCAAGAATGCACTCTGAGAATCACTTATTATAAATATCTCACTTTATCTCCCTGATATTAATTGCTGTTTATTAATCATTCTAATTGAGAACGCATGCTCTCAATAGAGGAAAATACAGGTCACACAATAGCTGTGATTCCAGTGTCCTTCCACGAGTTAACAAACTACACCAGGCTGCTTGCTGGATTCTTGCTATTCTCAAGACTGAGGCAAGCCAGACCATGTCATTTTTTATCTATCTCCAAAATCCATGAAGGAGGAAAGCCTGAGGGAGGGTGTCAGGGGCACCAAAACACTTTTAAAGCAATGTTGAGTTTGCGCACATGTGAATGACAGATACACGAATTCAGTGGGATGTTATCTGAAGGACAGTCATTTTTATGACAAGTTTTTTTTTTGCTGCACGTAATCTCAGATTCTTAGGAAAACAAATGTTTCCTCTGTGTGCAGAGGGCTTAATTAACTGAATAGTTGCTTGGTTTCAGCCATGGGTCCCCAAGGAACAGATTTCTCTAAGGTAGTTAAATTCCTAAGAAGTTTAGTTTTGAAACAAGAGAAAAGAGGCTTGGACAGAGGAAGCTGTGCCCATTATGGTAAAAGCTAAATATGTGCTCTTATGCAAGGCATCAAAGAATCCATCCTGGCAGAATATCTATAAATATCCCATATAAGGAGATAGCTTTAAGTATCACCAGCTATCAACAAGCAGATACAAAGTTATACAAAATCTGGCTTTAATGGTTCTGATCTCAGAGAACTGCTTGTTTATCAGTTGCTTGGCTTCTCTCAAAACCTAGAAGTTTTAACTGTTGAGACTTTTCAATGAAGCAAAAGCAACTGGGAGTTTGGTGGCTGTAGCATGTACTGAGTGAGGATGTTTTCCTGTTTTGTTTCTTCAGTGCTGTGTCAGTGCTGATCACAGGTTGGCATTTTGCTCCTTCAGTGGCTGCACTGTTGTACTTAGGCTCCATCTCTCCTTCTTCACTGCTAAGATACAGGGAAGCATTTTCCCCACAGATTTCGTGGCCTGACATCTAATTGCTGTGATTTAAAATGTATCCCATTCAGACACTAAAACTGGTTGGAATAAAGGTTTGAGATATTCCCTTACTTTTAACAATGTTAGTCTTAAGTTCTTAAAACCG